TCAACTACAACAACACAGTTAGAATCTATTCCACACAACGAAATACAACAGAATACTATTCACACACAACACAACACAGGATAGAAATATTCCATAAAAAACAACAAGGTTAAAATTTAAATTCACACACAAAAAAACACAGGTTAAAAACTATCACACTAAAAACACGGGTTTAAAAATAATATTCAATACAAAAAACAGGGTAAAATACTTTTCAAACAAAAACCCAAAACACGGTTAAATACATTCCACTAAAACACGGGTTAAATACTATTCACACTCCAACACAACACGGTTAAAATACTATTCACACTCCAAACAAAACACAGGTTAGAATCTTTCACACTAAAAAACAACAAGGTTAGATACTATTCACACTACAAACAACAAGTTAGAATATTTTCACACTACAAACAACAATTTTTAAAACTATTCCACTAAACACAGGTTAAAATTTTATTCACACTACAAAACAGATTAGAATTTTCACACTACAAAAAACCGGGTTTGAATTATTCCACTAAAACACGGGTTGAATATACCCCAAACTACAACCCGTTTAAATCTTTACACTCCAACCCAAAACCGGGTTGAATACTAAAAACCCAACAAAACACGGTAGAATACATTCACCACAAAAACACAGATTAAAAAAACTATTCACCCACAAACCACGGTTTAAATACTTTACAGTAAAACGGATAGAATAATATTCACACTACAACAACACAGGTTAAAACATTCAAAACCCCAAACCCGGTTGAATACATCCCCACAAAAAACCCAAGGTTAGAATACTATTCAACTACAACACAACACGGGTTTTAGAATACTTTTCACACTACACACAATTTGAATACTATTCACACTCACACAGGTTAGAATCTATTCACATAAAAAACAAAAACAGTTAAAATACTTTACACTAAAAAAGGTTCGAATACTATTCACACTAAAACACAGATTAAAAATACATTCCACTCCAACACAACAGGTTAAAATACTTTTAAAAACCCCAAACCAAAACGGGTTGAATACTACAAAAAACACCTAAAACAAAACACAGGTTAGAAACTATTCATCCCAACACAACACGATTAGAATCATTCACACTACAACCAAAACCAAAAATTAAGTATTTTCACCTACACCACCACGGGTTAGATACTATTCACACTACAAACAACAATTTTTAAAACTATTCACACTACAACACAGATTGAATACTATTCACACTACAACACAGGTTTGAATATATTCACACTAAAAAACGAAACACGATTAAAATACTATTCACACTACAACACAACACGGGTTAAAAAATTCACACACAACAACACAGGTTAAATACATTCACACTACAACGCAAACAGACTAGAAACTATTCACACACACCCCCAACACGGTTTAAAAATACTTTTCCACTACAAAACAAAAAGGGTTAGAAACTATTCACATAAAACCAGGTTAGAATACTTTCACACATAAACAACAAGGTTTAGAATACTATTCACATTACCCCCAACCGTTAGAATCTTTTTCCCTAAACCGGTTAAATCTATTCAACAACACCAGTTATTCTTTCCACCCCCAACAAAACACAGGTTAGAAAAAATATTTAAATCCAAACAACACAGGTTAGAATAATATTCACATACAACACAACAGGTTAAAATCATTCACCCAAAACACCACAGTTTAAAAAACTATTCACCTACAAAAAACCAGATTAGTACATTCCACACAACACAAAAAATTTAAGTACTATTCACACTAAAAACAAAACACGGGTTTTAGAATACATTCAACACCACAGTTTAGAATACTCTTCAAACTACAACAACACAGGTTAAATACTTTTCCCCTCCCAAACAAAAACACAGATTATAACCTTTCACTCTAAAACACAACACAGTTTAAATACTTTCCATAAAACACAACCCAGATTTAGAAATTTCACACTCCAAACCCAAAACCCGGTTAGAAACTATTCACACAAACACAAACAGGTTAGAATACTTTTCCACTCCACAAAAACACAGATGAAAAACTATCCCCTTAAAAACACAACACAGATTAAATTCTTTTCACACTAAAACCAACACAGATTAGAGTACTTTCCACTCCCCAACAGGTTGATAAATTCACACACAACACCCCGGGTTAGAATACTTTCACCCCCAAAAACCAACCCCCTATTAAATACATTCACTCAAACACAACACAGTTTAGAAACATTCCACTACAACACAAACAGATTAGAGACTTTTCAACTACAACACGGGTTTAATACTATTCCCTACAAACACAAAACGGGGGTTAAATACTTTTTCACATAAAACCAGATTTAAATACTTTTTCACCTCAACACGGTTGAATACTATTCACACAAAAACGCAAAAAAGATTGAAACTATTCACAACAAAAAAAACCCGGTTAGAAAAATTTTAAACCAAAAACCAGATTAGAAACTATTCAAACTAAACAAAACACAGGTTGAATACTTTCACACACAACACATTTTATAATACTATTCACACTAAACAACACAGGTAGAATACTTTTACACTACAACAAAATCAGACTAGAAACTTTCACACTAAACACAACACAGGTTTGAAAATATTCACAGTAAAAACAAAACACGGGGTAGAATACTTTTCACACTACAACACAACACAGGTAAAACTATTCACACTACAAACAGGTTAGAATACTATTCAACTAAACACAGATTTAATACATTCACCCAACCAACACAGGTTAAATAATTTAAACTCCAACACAAACCCGGGTTAAAATCTTTTCACACTAAACAAAAAACAGGAGAAAATACAAAAAAACCCAAAAGTTTAAAATATTCCCTCTACACACAACACTTTAGAAACTATTCCACTCAAACAACACAGGTTAGAAACTATTCACACTAAACACACACAGGTTATAATCATTCACACACAACCGATTTAAAAACTTTCACCACAACCAGGTTGAAAATTTTCCCCCAAAACAAACGCAACCAGATAGAATACTATTCACACTAAAAACCCCACACGGGTTGAATACTATTCACCCAACACGATTAAATATATTCAAACTACAAAAACCATTTTAAAATATACACATAAACCGGGTTTTATAATACTATTCACCTAAAACAACACGGGTTAAATACTTTCACCACAACCAATACAGACAGAATACTTTCCACACAACAAAACACGGGTTTTGAATACTATTCACCTAAAAAACACAACACAGTTGAATACTATTCCACTACAACACAACACAGGTTAAATCTTTCACACACAACACGGGTTAAAATATTTCACACACAACAACCAGGTTAGAATACTATTCCCTACAACCCAAACAGGTTAAAACACTTTTCCCACAAAAAACACGGGTTAAAATACATTCACACTAAACACAGTTAGAATACATTCACACCCAAACCAACACAGGTTGAATACTTTAAAACCCCCAACACAACACGGTTAAAACTATTCACACACAAAAAAACACGGGTTTGAATACTTTCACATACAAACAACCCGGTTAAAAATATTTTTCACTCTACACCCAACACAGATTATCCCCTTTCACAATACAACCAGGTTAGAATACTTTCCACAACAAACACAACCAGGAAAAAATACCATTCAATAAAACAAAAACCCGGTTAGAATACTATTCCATAAAACACGGTTAGAATCTACACATACAACAAAAACACAGGTTAGATATATTCAAACTCCAAAAAAAACCCGGGTTAAATACTATTCACACTCAACCAACACATTTAGAATACTTTTCCCTCCAACCAAACAATTAAAAAATTTTCCCTAAACACAACACGTTTAAAATACTATTCCACTCAACAAACACAGATTAAATACTATTCACAAAAACCAAAAACCCGGTTGAATACTATTCATGTACAACAACACGGGTTTAAAAATTTTTTCAACTACAAACAAAAACCGGGTTAAAATAATTCCAAAAAACCCGGGTTTAAATATATTCACAACCAACCAAACAGGTTAAAACTTTTCACACTGCAACACGCACGGGTTAAATACTTTTCACACTAAAAACACAACACAGGTTAAATAATTCCACTACAACAAAACCAGGTTAGAATCTTTCCACTAAAACAAAAGTTGGAATACTATTCACACACAAAAAAACAAATACAATTAGAATACTATTTACACTACAACACAACACGGGTTAGAATACTATTCACACTACAACACAATACAGACTAGAATACTATTCACACTACAACACAACACAGGTTAGAATACTATTCAAACTACAACACAACACAGGTTAGAATACTATTCACACTACACCACAACACAGGTTAGAATACTATTCACACTACAACACAACACAGGTTAGAATACTATTCACACTACAACACAACATGTTAGAATACTATTCACACTACAACACAACACAGGTTAGAATACTATTCACACTACAACACAACACAGGTTAGAATACTATTCACACTACAACACAGATTAGAATACTATTCACACTACAACACAACACAGGTTAGAATACTATTCACACTACAACACAACACAGGTTAGAATACTATTCACACTACAACACAACACAGGTTAGAATACTATTCACACTACAACACAACACAGGTTATAATACTATTCACACTACAACACAACATGTTAGAATACTATTCACACTACAACACAACAGGTTAGAATACTATTCACACTTCAACACAACACAGGTTAGAATACTATTCACACTATGACACAACACAGGTTAGAATACTATTCAGACTACAACACAGGTTAGAATACTATTCACACTACAACACAACACAGGTTAGATTACTATTTACACTACAACACAACACCAACCATGTTAGAATAGTTGTCATAATACAACACTAAACATACATTACAACACCTACATACACAATATTGAATTATTACATTTTCAATCAAGTCTGAAGTCTATAGCTAGTGTAGTATAAAAAGAAAGTAGTGTTTGGTCACACCTTCAATGAACCGTCTCTGCTGCTGGATGAGCTCGTCACAGAGGTGGCGGTGCTGCTCGAAGCGCTGCACCACAAAGTTCTTCTGCCGGATCATGTTGTCTTTGAGGAGGGCGTGGGACTGCATCTCGGCGTTCTCGATCTCCAGCTCGTGGACCTTACAGAGGAGGCCCAGCACCTCCCTCTGCTCCTCTGAGCTCACCCTGTGAGGGAGCAGCTCCTCCAGGCGCCTGGCCCGCTCCCGCAGCTCCATGAAGCAGCGCTCCAGCAACGCCTACAGGACAGGAGGACAAACAGCAGGCAGGGTTCAATGGAAATCCTCACATAGTAGGTTCTCATCATGCTACACGTTGGCATACTATACAAATGGAAACCATGTGCTTGGTACCGTTCCATTCAGTCCAATCCAGCCATGACAATGAGTCTGATCTCCAATATCTCCTACCACCAGCCACCCCAGTACTGTACAACTGTGTAGTTTACAAGGCTATCAATGCCTAGTTTAAGCTAGGTAGCCTAAGATGTGTGATTATGTAGCTCCCCCTAGAGGTGAGAGCAGGGGACTACAGTAACCTACCTTCTGTTTGCGTATCTTGTTCTGTTCAGCTATGAGAGTGACCAAGTTCTCTCTGGCCATGGCTACTTCCTGCGTCTCAGTGCTGTCTGGGGGAGACTCAGGGCAGTAAGAGTCCTTCTCACTCTCCTCCTTACTGAAGCTCTCTTTCCTCCTCTCCGCTCGCCACTTCCTGCGACGATGACTCCGCTCCTGCTCCCAACTACAGGACGAACAACAATGCACGCAATGGTGAGCAGCTGTTTAGATATTCCTGTTAATTATCACAGTCATTTAACAACTACAGCTAGAGACTGTAGGTGTAAAGGGAGTGCTATGAGATTATTGTAGGTCTAATGGCACCCTATTGCCTATATAGAGCCCTAAGGGCCCTGGTCAAACGTAGTGCACTATATAGGGAATAGGGTGCTATTTGGGACAGTCCTAAGACACATACTCTGCGATGGTGAGCAGGTGTTTGGAGGCGTCCATCTGGATCTCCATGTTGTTGTTGTCCAGCTCCATCAGGCTCCTCCTGAGCTCCATCTGGCTCCTGAAGGCCTCTAGGAGCTGCTCTCTCAGCTGGTCCATCTCTGCCCGGCTCGCCTGTGTGCTGTGGGCCTGCACCTCCACTATATTGGTGGAAGGAGAGGAGGAGAGTTCATGTCTGTTGGAGGCACACATACACACATACACACACACACACACACACACACACACACACACACAGACAGATACACAGACAGACACACACACACACACACACAGACACACACAGACACACACAGATACACAGACACACACACACACACAGATACACAGACACACACACAGACACACACAGATACACACACAGACACAGACACAGACACACAGAGACACAGACAGATACACACACACACACACAAACACAGACACACACACACACACACAGACACACAGACACACAGAGACACACACACACACACACACACACACACACATTGTGAAGGAGCTATCAGAGAGGTCAAGGTAAGGTCATTACCCTGGACATGGCGGATGTCAGCTCGGTCAGAGTTGAGCTGACGTCCAGCCTGATTGGCGATCTTCTTCTTGAGCCGCTGAATCTCGCTGCGCAGGTCAGAGATGATGTTGGTATACTGAGCGATGTGGTAGGACACATTCAGCAGGTTCCTCTTCACCTGGAGAAAGAGAACTGTCTTATAACACTATAATAACATGATGTGGTAGAACACGTTCAGCATGGAGGAACCCAACTGACAAACTATTAAGCTTAATATTGACAGCGTTGTTTTAACTGTTATACTGCAGAGCTAAAGGAATCTTTAACTTGATCTTGGAGGTCTAGGCTGGGTTACTGTAAAACACTTTGTAATAACTCTGTTTATGTAAAAAGGGCTTTTTAAATTACATTTGATTGGTTGATTGATTGATTTGAAAATTCAAAGATGTGAGAAACATCTCGGTTGTCCCACACCTCAGTTGTCCCACACCTCGGTTGTCCCACACCTCGGTTGTCCCACACCTCGGTTGTCTCACACCTCGGTTGTCTCACACCTCAGTTGTCTCACACCTCAGTAGTCTCACACCTCGGTTGTATCACACCTTGGTTGTCTCACACCTCAGCGAAGGAGGGATTATTTTTTATTTTTTCTCTCCAATTTCATGATATCCAATAGGTAGTCACAGTCTTGTCCCATCGCTGCAACTCCCCTACCGACTCGGGAGAGGCGAAGGTCGAGAGCCATGTGTCCTCCGAAACATGGCCCTGCCAAGCCGCACTGCTTCTTAGACACACTGCTTGCTTAACCCGGAAGCCAGTCGCACCAATGTGTCGGAGGAAACACTGTACAACTGGCGACCGTGTCATCGTGCATGCGCCCGGCCCGCCACAGGAGTCGCTAGAGCGTGATGGGACAAGGACATCCCAGCAGGCCAAACCCTCGCCAAACCAGACGACGCTGGGCCATTTGTGCGACACAGCCCGGGATCGAACCCGGATCTGTAGTGATGCCTCTAGCACTGATCAGTGCCTTAGACTGCTGCGGTACTCTGGAAATGTTGTGTTGTGTTTTACTCACCCGCGTGCGGATACTTTTGGCACGGTCGGCGTAGCTCAGCGTGTTGCGCGACTCCTCGAAGGCCAGGGAGGCGGGGCTAATGTGGGCTATCATCACCGTGCGACTATTGCCTCCCAACGAGTCCTGTCAATCAAACACATCAGAACAGGAAGTGAATGAATGCAAGTGGAATGCAAATAATCCTTCTGAATTATGCAAAAAGGCAGCAAAAAGTTGAATTGTACTGTATTGTATGGTATGGTGTGGTGCAATATAGTGTGGTGTGGTATGGTATGTTTGGTATGGTATGGTGTCGTATGGTGCATTCATGATGAATGTTGTGTGGAATTGTGTGGTATGGTGTGGTCATTCATGATAATAATAATATGCCATTTAGCAGACGCTTTTATCCAAAGCGACTTACAGTCATGTGTGCATACATTTTTACGTATGGGTGGTCCCGGGGATTGAACCCACTACCCTGGCGTTACAAGTGCCATGCTCTACCAATTGAGCTACAGAGGACCACATGATGAATGTTGTGTGGTATCGTGTGGTGTGGTGTGGTATGGTGTGGTATGGTGTGGTATAGTGTAGTATGATGTGGTATGGTATGGTGTGGTATGGTGTGGTGTAGTATGGTGGGGTATAGTGTAGTATGGTGTGGTATGGTACAGTATAGTATGGTTTTGTAGTGTAGTGTATTGTATTGTATTGTATTGTATTGTATTCATAAAGCACATGTGGCCAGTCAGGACAGTTTGTCTTAGACGGGTTACCGTACTGTACCTTCAGCAGGCGCGTCAGCTTGCTGTCCCTGTAGTTGACATATTTGTTACCATGTTTCTCACTCAGGGCGTTGATGCAGTTACCCAGAGCCAGGAGGGAGCGGTTGATGTGGGCCCCTTCTTTTAACCTCTGACCTCTGTTCTGTGTCTGGGAGAGAGAGAGGGAGCAGGTTTACTATCTGGGGTCATGTTCCAGAGCATACATTTTGCTGATCAACTACTGAGCAGACTGACTGATCAACAATTGATAAAGAGTGGTTATTTAGGATGCAAGGTGATCTGTAGGTCAGTAAGTCTGTCTGCAATGTAGTCCATGTTGAACACACAGACATTGTCTAGGTTCGCTGAGTTCCAGCCCAGGACAGATACTGCCAATGTTAACTAGCAGAGGGGGCTCTAACCTTCCTTTTCTTTCCTCTGTCTGCAGTTACATTGGAAGAGTCACAACTTTAAAACAAATTGTATAACCACTTATGAGTAACTATGGACGCTGTCAGTGTCATAACACATCATACGTGTATTATAATGCATTATAAAGGACGTTATTACATATGTACTTTATAGAAAGTGTTACCAGTCTTTTGGACCAAAACACATCTCACAGACAGAAAACATCCCCTCAAAAGAGGTAGTGGAACCCCCTCTGTTCTCTTCCATCTAAAGAGACTGGTGGCCTATAGGCTATGGTATACATCCATAGAACAGCCTAGCTGGTTAACCTTTCTAAAAGTTTCCATGGTAAATAAGTGTTCTCTCCATTCAGGCATGATTGTATGTTTTTCTCATGGGTACGTCCCAAATGGCACCATATTCCCTGTATAGTACACTACTTTTGACCTAGCCCTATGGGAAATTGGGTGCCATTTGGGACGCATACCATGGTGTATATGAGGTCTGGCTGGTTTAATATGGATGCTAATCTAACAACATTCATCATGAATGACATGTCAATGTCTGTGTCCCCTGTAGCTCAGTTGGTAGATCATGGCGCTTGCAACGCCAGGGTTGTGGGTTTGTTTCCCACGGAGGGCCAGTATGAAAATGTATGCACTCACTAACTGTAAGTCGATCTGGATAAGAGCATCTGCTAAATGACTAAAATGTAAATGTAAAATGTGTTGGTTAAACACTATGCCTTCAGTAGAATGACTACAGGTAACCACAGCAACTAATAGGAGAAGCAAACGGCTATTATGAAGCCTTCAGAGTTCACAGGATAAATTCAAAGTATACCAAATGTGAAAAGACCGGCAACATTGGATAACTTCAGTACAGGCCCTATGTTCCTCCAGGAACCAAGAGGATCACTTTACTACAGGCCCTATGTTCCTCCAGGAACCAAGAGGATAACTTTACTACAGGCCCTATGTTCCTCCAGGAACCAAGAGGATAACTTTACTACAGGCCCTATGTTCCTCCAGGATCAAAGAGGATAACTTTACTACAGGCCATATGTTCCTCCAGGAACCAAGAGGATAACTTTACTACAGGCCCTATGTTCCTCCAGGAACAAAGAGGATAACTTTACTACAGGCCCTATGTTCCTCCAGGAACAAAGAGGATAACTTTACTACAGCCCCTATGTTCCTCCAGGAACCAAGAAGATAACTTTACTACAGGCCCTATGTTCCTCCAGGAACCAAGAGGATCACTTCACTACAGGCCCTATGTTCCTCCAGGAACCAAGAGGATAACTTTACTACAGGCCATATGTTCCTCCAGGAACCAAGAGGATAACTTTAGTACAGGCCCTATGTTCCTCCAGGAACAAAGAGGTTAACTTTAGTACAGGCCCTATGTTCCTCCAGGAACCAAGAGGATAACTTTAGTACAGGCCCTATGTTCCTCCAGGAACAAAGAGGATAACTTTAGTACAGGCCCTATGTTCCTCCAGGAACCAAGAGGATAACTTTAGTACAGGCCCTATGTTCCTCCAGGAACCAAGAGGATTAAGTGGTTAAGGTTTATAGTAAATTCTGTTGTGTCATATAATGTGTCACAAACATCCCCAACTAGTTCACAAAAGACATTGGCTGTGGTGTCCCAAATGGCATCCTATTTCCTATATGGCGCACTACTTTTTGGCCCATAGTAGTGCCCTATAGGGAATAGGGTGTCACTTGCCAGTATTGGAGTCACTCCAACTGTAATCTGTTCAACTAAAGTAACCAGCACCATAACACTGTGCTATAAATGTCACAGTAAAGTCACAGCACCATTTCAACGATATCATCCATTTTGTAATTGTTTATAACCCTGACATAAAGAAGACGCTGATAGACGGTCAACTATAGGGACATTAACCCCTTCTTTCCCTAAATGGTCTAGAATGTAAAATGTATTGTTCTTTACACTGTGAAGGGCCTTTATTAAAGTGTCCTATAAACCCTATTCCCTACATAGTACACTACTTTTGATCAAAGCTCTACTCTGGAAGGAACCTGCGATGTTATGCCATGGACACAAGTATCAGACCATAACAAGAGGTGAAAAAACTGAAACAGGCATGTTTACATACAAATGCACGCACACACCCCTACACACACACACCCCTACACCACACTCCTACACACACACCCCTACACACACACACACCCCTACACAACAGTCCTACACACACACCCCTACACCCCCCCCCCCCCCTACACCACACTCCTACACACACACCCCTACACACACACACACCCCTACACCACACTCCTACACACACATCCCTACACACACACCCCTACACACACACCCCTACACCACACTCCTACACACACATCCCTATACATAAACCCACTCCTACACACACACCCCTACACACACACACACACACATAGTGTTCTGCACCTGTGAGGCTCGTTCAGAGCCGGCGAGGTCGATCATGAAGAGGCGTGCGAAGCGGACCTCCTGTAGAAGGTCTCGACAGCGGCTCGTCTGCCTGACAGCCACCTGCAGCACGGCGTGGGACCGGGATGATGTCTTGTTGGCTGCCGTGGGCTCCTGGGAACGCTGCTTATTACCCTTCATCAGCAGCTCCATGATCTGGCAGGAACACAGTCATAAAGCTCTATGTAGCTATATGTAGGTCTATGTAGCTCTAATATGATGTGCTCGTAGATGTGTTATGTAGGCTTCATAATATACAATATACATATTTAGATAATAATGTATGTATAGTTTGTATGTATGTGTTTTATGTATAGTGTGTGATCAAATCAAATGTTATTTGTCACATTCGCTGAATACAACAGGTGTAGACTTTACTGTGAAATGCTTGCTTACGAGCTCTTTGATCTTGTAAAGCATGGAGTGTGTGTGGCCATGCGTGACCTCTCACCTCTCGGGCATTGATAGTGCAGACCTCTGTGATGCCAGCCACCTGGATCACTCCTTTAGAGTCCTCTCTCAGGTCCAGGAACCCAGAGGATGGGTTGAGAAGATCCCGGATCATCTCGTTGTAGATCTGGGAACACAGGGAATGGGTCATTAGCTTCCAAATCACATCTCAGAAGCTCAACATCCAAGTAATTGTTATATCCAAGTAATTGTTATATTCAAGGAATTCATATATTCAAATAATTCTTATATCCAAGGAATTCTTCTATTCTTAAGCTTGTAAAATAGCTTGTAGAATATCTTGTAGAATAGCTTGTAGAATAATAGTTTTTAGAATAGCTTGTAGAAGAATAGCTTGCAGAAGAATAGTTTGTAGAAGAATAGCTTGTAGAATAGCTTGTAGAAGATTAGCTTATGGTAGAATAGTGTGTAGAAAAATTGCTTGTAGAAGAATAGCTTGTGGAATAGCTGGTATAATAGTTTGTAGAATAGCTTGTAGAATAACAGCTTGTATAATAGCTTGTAGAAGAATAGCTTGTAGAGTAGCTTGTAGAAGAATAGCTTGTAGAATAGCTTGTAGAAGAATAACTTGTTGAAAAGTTTGCAGTAGAATAGCTTGTAGAATAATAGCTTGTAGAATAGCTTGTAGAATAGCTTGTAGAAGAATAGCTTGTAGAATAGCTTGTAGAAGAATAACTTGTTGAAAAGTTTGTAGTAGAATAGCTTGTAGAAGAATAGCTTGTAGAATAGCTTGTAGAATAGCTTGTAGAAGAATAGCTTGTAGAATAGCTTGTAGAATAATAACTTGTTGAAAAGTTTGTAGTAGAATAGCTTGTAGAAGAATAGCTTGTAGAATAGCTTGTAGAATAGCTTGTAGAAGAATAGCTTGTAGAATAGCTTGTAGAATAGCTTGTAGAAGAATAAATTGTTGAAAAGTTTGTAGTAGAATAGCTTGTAGAAGAATAGCTTGTAGAATAGCTTGTAGAATAGCTTGTAGAAGAATAGCTTGTAGAATAGCTTGTAGAATAGCTTGTAGAAGAATAACTTGTTGAAAAGTTTGTAGTAGAATAGCTTGTAGAAGAATAGCTTGTAGAATAGCTTGTAGAATAGCTTGTAGAAGAATAGCTTGTAGAATAGCTTGTAGAATAGCTTGTAGAAGAATAACTTGTGGAATAGCTTGTAGTAGAATAGCTTGTAGTAGAATAGCTTGTAGTAGAATAGCTTGTAGTAGAATAGCTTGTAGAAGAATTGTAGAATAGCTTGTAGTAGAATAGCTTGTAGAAGAATTGTAGAATAGCTTGTAGAAGAATAGCTTCTACAGAATAGCTTGTATAATAGCTTGCAGAATAGCTTGTAGAATAATAGCTTGTAGAATAGCTTGTAGTAGAATAGCTTGTAGTAGAATAGCTTGTAGAATAGCTTGTAGAATAGCTTGTAGTAGAATAGCTTGTAGTAGAATAGCTTGCAGAATAGCTTGTAGTAGAATAGCTTGTAGTAGAATAGCTTGTAGTAGAATAGCTTGCAGAATAGCTTGTAGAATAGCTTGCAGAATAGCTTGTAGTAGAATAGCTTGTAGAATAGCTTGTAGTAGAATAGCTTGTAGAATAGCTTGTAGTAGAATAGCTTGTAGAATAGCTTGTAGTAGAATAGCTTGTAGAATAGCTTGTAGTAGAATCATAAGATCGTGAGTGTCAAACTTCAAATCAATGGCATTGTGTCATTTCTGTCTTATGCATTCTGTAATCAATGCTAATTTCTTCCAAACACAAGGACACTGACTGTCGCTCATTCTACTCTAGAAATATTTCTCTGGTGGATGTCTTTGGCTGGTTGAGCGTGCTTTCTATTTTTAATAAAGAGCTGTCTATAATAGTAGAATAGCTTGTATAATAGCTTGTATAATAGCTTGTAGAATAGCTTGTATAATAGCTTGCATAATAGCTTGTATAATAGCTTGTATAATAGCTTGTAAAATAGCTTGTAGAAGAATAACTTGTAGAATAGTTTGTAGTAGAATAGCTTGTAGTAAAGGCAGACCTGTTAATTGAAATGCATTCCAGGTGACTACCTCATGAAACTGGTTGAGAGAATGCCAAGTGTGCAATTTTGATTTGTTTAACACCTTTTTGGTTACTACATGATTCCATATGTGTTATTTCATAGTTTTGATGTCTTCACTATTATTCTACAATGTAAAAAATTGTAAAAATAAAGAAAAACCCTTGAATGAGAAGGTGTGTCCAAACTTTTGACTGGTAGTGTGTGTGTATAAATATATATATATATATATATATATATATATATATATATATATATATATATATGGCTCTGTTTGTAGTTTGTAGCATAGCAATCAGTGTCAATATCGGACGTCCACACAGGCACGGCCAGACCGTTATCTTTTATCAGAACTTTATTATCTTATCACACGGCCACACAGATAATCTCTCAGCCAACTAGACGCAAGAAACCACTCTACAAACAAGCTCATCATTGTCTATTTTCCACCAAAAACAGCCACTATTGATCTCAGTCAGTGGTTATATTGTTTTAGTCTTATCAGAAACGGTTAGACGATAACTCCTGCTTGTCATAGTTTTATCTACATGACTATCACCTGAACCGTTGAATAAAGAGAAACGCAGTTCTAAGTTAGTATACTATATAGTGACTACATCACTGTTGGTGACCTTAGCTGAACTGAAAGCCTTGTGGGTCAGGTGACAGGGTAGTTTGTTATAGCACAGGTAGGCTACTGACGGCTGTGTTATTAGACGTCAGGGTATTCCTAAGAGAAACAAATGCAGACACAGGTTGCGTCCCAAAATAGCACCCTATTCCCTATATAGTGTACTACTTTTGAACTGTAGTGCACTATATAGGGAATAGGGTGCCACCTGGGATGCAGACAGAGACAGTATGCATTCTCACCTCCAGGTAGGACATGGAGATGTTGTACTGCATGTCATCTCTGGTCTCCTCGATGGCTTTGAACAAGTCATTTAGAGTGTGTACGTAGATCCCCGGTTCTCTGTCAGTCCCCAACATAGTGTAGGTCTTCCCACAACCTACACACACACACACACACACAGAGAGAGGGACAATATGCACCATCACTGTTTGCGGTTTGCGTTGAAGACAATAATAGTGTCAATACCAAACAATTTGAGCATTGAAGAGTATTGAAGAGTATTCAACAGCATTGAAAAGCATTGAACAGTATTGAACAGCATTGAAGAGTATTGAACAACATTGAACAGCATTGAACAGCATTGAAGAGCATTGAACAACATTGAACAACATTGAACAGCATTGAAGAGCATTGAACAGTATTTAACAGCATTGAAGAGTATTGAACAACATTGAACAGCATTGTAGCTCAGTTGGTAGAGCATGGCGCTTGCAACGCCAGGATTGTGGGTTTGTTTCCCACGGAGGGCCAGTATGAAAATGCATGCACTCACTAACTGTAAGTCGATCTGGATAAGAGCGTCTGCTAAATGACTAAAATGTAAATGTAAAATGTGTTGGTTAAGCACTATGCCTTCAGTAGAATGACTACAGGTAACCACAGCAACTAATAGGAGAAGCAAACGGCTATTATGAAGCCTTCAGAGTTCACAGGATAAATTCTAAGTATACCAAATGTGAAAAGACCGGCAACATTGGATAACTTCAGTACAGGCCCTATGTTCCTCCAGGAACCAAGAGGATAACTTTACTACAGGCCCTATCTTCCTCCAGGAACCAAGAGGATAACTTTACTACAGGCCCTATGTTCCTCCAGGAACCAAGAGGATAACTTTACTACAGGCCCTATGTTCCTCCAGGAACCAAGATGATAACTTTACTACAGGCCCTATGTTCCTCCAGGAACCAAGAGGATAACTTTACTACAGGCCCTATGTTCCTCCAGGAACAAAGAGGATAACTTTACTACAGGCCCTATGTTCCTCCAGGAACCAAGAGCATAACTTTACTACAGGCCCTATGTTCCTCCAGGAACAAAGAGGATAACTTTACTACAGGCCCTATGTTCCTCCAGGAACCAAGAGGATAACTTTACTACATGCCCTATGTTCCTCCAGGAACCAAGAGGATAACTTTACTACAGGCCCTATGTTCCTCCAGGAACCAAGAGGATAACTTTACTACAGGCCCTATGTTCCTCCAGGAACCAAGAGGATAACTTTAGTACAGGCCCTATGCTCCTCCAGGAACCAAGAGGATAACTTTACTACAGGCCCTATGTTCCTCCAGGAACAAAGAGGAAAACTTTAGTACAGGCCCTATGTTCCTCCAGGAACAAAGAGGATAACTTTAGTACAGGCCCTATGTTCCTCCAGGAACCAAGAGGATAACTTTAGTACAGGCCCTATGTTCCTCCAGGAACAAAGAGGATAACTTTAGTACAGGCCCTATGTTCCTCCAGGAACCAAGAGGATAACTTTAGTACAGGCCCTATGTTCCTCCAGGAACCAAGAGTATTAAGTGGTTAAGGTTTATAGTAAATACTTGTGTCATATGGTCCTCTGTAGCTCAGCTGGTAGAGCACGGCGCTTGTAACGCCAAGGTAGTGGGTTCGATCCCCGGGACCACCCATACACAAAAATGTATGCACGCATGACTGTAAGTCGCTTTGGATAAAAGCGTCTGCTAAATGGCTTATTATTATATTATTATTATTATATAATGTGTCACAAACATCCCCAACTAGTTCACAAAAGACATTGGCTGTATATGGCGCACTACTTTTTGGCCCATAGTAGTGCCCTATAGGGAATAGGGTGTCATTTGGGATGCAGACATTCTGTTGCCAGTATTGGCGTCACTCCAACTGTAATCTGTTCAACTAAAGTAACCAGCACCATAACACTGTGCTATAAATGTCACGGTAAAGTCACAGCACCATTTCAAGATATCATCCATTTTGTAATCGTTTATAACCCTGACATAAAGAAGACGCTGATAGACGGTCAACTATAGGGACATTAACCCCTTCTTTCCCTAAATGGTCTAGAATGTAAAATGTATTGTTCTTTACACTGTGAAGGGCCTTTATTAAAGTGTCATATAAACCCTATTCCCTACATAGTACACAACATTGAACAGCATTGAAGAGCATTGAACAGTATTTAACAGCATTGAAGAGTATTGAACATAATTGAACAGCATTGAACAGCATTGAAGAGCATTGAAGAGTTTTGAACAACATTGAACAGCATTGAACAGCATTGAAGAGCATTGAACAGTATTGAACAGCATTGAAGAGAATTGAACAGTATTGAACAGCATTGAAGAGTATTGAACAACATTGAACAGCATTGAACAGTGTCCATTTCAGTGTCATGACTATACTGTTTTTTGTTTTACCCCTTTCTGCATGGATCAGTTCACTAAAAGGATAACTTTTATTTTTTACAACCAAATATCTATTTTTGATGTAAATGGCATGTTATAGAAGGGTCCAGACACTTTTTTTGTGATTTCATTTTTTAAAAAACTTACCCCAAACAGCAAATAACTTCCTCATTCTCATGTAGAATTGAGTCCCTGAAAAAACATGAATAAAGGCTCCAAAAACACCCAAATACATCCTTTTAGAAACGACAAAGCTCCAAATATAGTGATGCAGGTCTTTAGATGTTGTACACATGAAATTGTGTCATTCCAAACTTTATCCGCAACATTATATTCCATTTTGTTGCGACTCGAGCGATACCTCTCCGTCCATTCTACAGGTAACTGCCAAAATAAAAGGAAACACTTGAGTAAATGAGGGATACAAAGTATATTGAAATCAGGTGGTGCTTCCACACAGGAAGTTCCAGACACTTGTAGAATCTATGGCAAGGCGCATTGAAACTTTTCCTTTAAAGATGCACTATGCACAAATCGCTCCGCCATTTCCTGGTTGATAAAATTCTAATAGTTCACCTAATTTTAGTTTATGTGACAAAACAAGCAGTCATTGTGTAGAGTATCATCTAAACCGCTGTGAAATATATTGTATATTCCACTGTTTGAAGCTGGTGTAAAAAAACAGAAAGTAAAAGACGCAAAAACAAAACTTCTGAATGAGAAGCATAGAAATAGCTTATATAGAACAGATCTACCGCTCCTTAGACTGAAAGATCTAGAACTCACATTTATGTGTGAATTTGGTTGGGTCTCCCAAATAGTTACATATTGTAGCTTTAAGTTCAGTTCAGTTAATTTATTTGGCCTTTTACAGGAATTTGTCGCGCATTCAGTAGCTGGATGTGTGTACACTACTTTTAAACTCAATATTAAAAGGCCTTCTTGTTGAAAGCTTAACCCCAGTCAACCTCTATTTCCTGAAACCATGCCTGTTTTGGTCGAGGAGGACAGGTCACAAGAGGTCTTAATTCAGTTTTGGACAACAAGGCTGTGACACACTGAGTTTAATTAGTTAAATTCAAGCAGAGATTATGAGCAGTGAGTCTACAGAGAGAGAGACAGACAGGAGGATGGGGGGAGGGAGGATTACTTTTCGGTCTGTTGTATTTGTCTTTCTACAGTAGGTAGTGACTGTCTGTCTGTCTGTCTGACTGTCTGTCTGACTGTCTGTCTGACTGTCTGTCTAACCGTCTGTCTGTCTGTCTGTCTGTCTGTCTGTCTGTCTGTCTGTCTGTCTGTCTGTCTGTCTGTCTGTCTGTCTGTCTGTCTGTCTGTCTGTCTGTCTGTCTGTCTGTCTGTCTGTCTGATTGTCTGTCTAACCATCTATCTGTCTGACTGTCTGTCTAATCGTCTGTCTGTCTGACCGTCTGTCTGTCTGTCTGTCTAACCGTCTGACTGTCTGTCTGTCTGTCTGTCTGTCTGTCTGTCTGTCTGTCTGTCTGTCTGTCTGTCTAACCGTCTGTCTGTCTGTCTGTCTGTCTGTCTGTCTGGTGCTACCTATGACATAATTTCTTCCCATTAGAAACATAATGAGTGAAAGCTTGCAACACCCCTTCCCAGTCCCCATGGTATCAGATCAGACTAATTAGAATCTAGAACCCCAACATTAATCCAACAGTGGAAAAGGAAGATAGTACTATATGATTTATGAGTTTGATTATATCGCTGAAATTAGCTAAATAAATAGCAAGAGATAACTTGGATAAAAAGGCATGTAGTCAGGATCATCAACCCCCAGGCTGGTTGTTTCCAGGGTAATATTCACCCCTGGTGTCCAGTGGGTGGTAGATAGAGGCTTAGTTCTCCCCTGGTGTCCAGTAGGTGGTAGATAGAGGCTTAGACCAGCCCTGAGGACAACACAAACAGGGACAGAGGACACACGCACGGATACACACACATGCCCGCAACTAGAATAGAGGATAGGGCGGCTCTGACAAACCTGTGGGTCCGAAGGCAAAAACGGTGGCATTGTAGCCAGATATGAGGCCTTCGATCAGGCCCTTGGTCGTGGCTCTGTACACCTCTTCCTGGTTGGCTGAGTAGTCAAATGCCACATCGAACATATAGGTCTTCTCCCGGGAGCGGTTGGCACGCAGGATATTATCTGGATCCTCCATGGGGTTCATCAGAACAACCATCTATAGCAGGGAGGGAGGGAGGAGGAGAGGGGAGAAGGGAAGGAGTGAGGGAGGAGAGGGAGGGAGGAAAGCAAGGGAGAAGGGGACAAGGGAGGGAGGGGGAAGGGATGAGGGAGGGATGGGAGGGAGGGAGGGAGGGGAGGGAGGGAGGGAGGAGAGGAGGGAGGAGCAGGAGAAGGGGGACAAGGAGGGAGGGGAAGGGATGAGGGAGGGAGGGAGGTAGGGAGGGAGGGGAGGGAGGGAGGGAGGGAGGAGGGGGAAGGGAATGATGAGGGAGGGGGGAGGGGAGGGAGGGAGGGTAGGGAGGGAGGGAGGGAGGGAGGGGAAGGGGAAGGGGAAGGGGGAGGGGAAGGAGGGAGGGAGGGAGGGAGGGAGGGAGGGTGGAAGGGAAGGGATGAAGGGGAGGGAGGGAGGGAGGGAGCGGGGGGGGGAGGGAGGGAGGGAGGGAGGGAGGGGGCGCAGGCAGGAGGGAGGGAGGAGGAGCAGGGAGGGAAGGAGGAAGGAGAATGAGAGGAGAAGAAGGGATGAAAAGAGAGAGAAAGGGAAATGTGAATGATTAGTCATCACACCACAGAAACATCATTGCATAACATATAATAATATGTTTTGTTTTCAAATAACCATTCAAAGGTCAAATCATCTGAATGAATCTGTCAGTAGAGAATGACTGCTATTACCCCAGAGGCCCACTACACTCCTCTACCACTCCTGCTACCATCTGCCACAGTATGACTCTGCACCGTAATGGCTGACAGTTACCCAGCTCTGTGCATGTAATTCAAGTGGTGAAGAGAAACTGATGGGCACAGCAGCAGTTAGAGCAGGGGTCTAAGGGTTTAAACAGGGCCTTTTATCCATCTGCAGCTGGAGACACAAAGGGCCCGAGGGCTCTCCTGTTGGGTAGAGCCCTGAGTGCCGCAGTGCCCCTCCATATCCACACAAAGTCTGCATCCCAATTCCCCCTATTCCCTAGTGCACTCATATGACCCTGGTCAAAAGTAGTGCACTACAGTATATAGGGTGTTGGAGGAAATGTGGGTGTATCTTATATTATGTGGTCCTCTGTAGCTCAGCTGGTAGAGCACGGCGCTTGTAACGCCAAGGTAGTGGGTTCGATCCCCGGGACCACCCATACACAAAAAAAAATGTATGCACGCATGACTGTAAGTCGCTTTGGATAAAAGCGTCTGCTAAATGGCATATTATATTATATTTATATTATTATATTATGGTAATATTCTGGCAATTACACTCCAGACCACTAGGGGCAGATAAATGGTGAACACACATCAGGGGATCTACAAACACACAGTTGTTTGAACGTTTGGTGTGTCTGGATGGTGGGAGAGCTCACGGTTCTTACTGCAATAAAAAAGGGCTACTGGATGATGTAGTGCGCGTGCGTTCAA